GAAGCCTCCCAGTTTGTGGCAATTTGTTATAGCATCCCTAGGAAACTCATACACCCACTGTGGAATTCTTCTGAGCAGAGATTGTATTCTAGATCCTTTTTTGCTTTATCTCACCAAAGCTCAACTCCCTGGGTGATATTCCTCAAGGATGCAGCTATGCCATCTGATAAGCCAAGGTTTATCTGCATATCTTCATAATTGTGGAGATAGAATTTGCATTTCTCTAGAGACCTGCCTGCCTGAAGGAAAATAATATAATATTGTTATAATACTTTGTATTTCAAAAGCATAATTAGGAAGATTTTCTTATTCCTTCAACATGTCCCATGAGATAAGTCAGGGATATCATGACTCTGATTCTGCAGATAAAGAAACTGAGCAACAACAGGGTAAGTGAAGTACACCAGGACACTCAAACATATCTAAATCAGGGGTCCTCAAACTTTTTAAATGGGGGGCCAGTTCACCATCCCTCAGATCGTTGGAGAGCCATTGGAGAGTGTGGCACACATTCCACACATGTGCACTGTGGGCCCAGGATGAGTTGGCTGCTAAGCAGGACAGGCAGTGGCGGCAAAAAACACTCGGTGGGCTGGATAAATGTCCTCGGTGGGCCACATGTGGCTCACAGGCCATAGTTTGAGGACACCTGTTCTAAATGGTATAGATAAGACTTGTGTCTGTTTAGGCTGCTGTAACAAAATACCACAGATTGGGTGGCTTATAAACAATCAATCCCCCTCCCCCACAGTTCTGGAAGCTGGGAGGTCCAAGATTAAGGCACCAGCAGATTTGGTTTCTGGTGAGGGCTCACTTCCTCACAGACAGCTGTCTCCTTGGTCCAATGTCACATGGCAGAAGGTGCCAGCGGTCTTTCTCAGGCCCCTTTATAAGGGCACTAATCCCATTCATGCAGGCTCCACCCTCTTGACCTAATCACCTCCCAAAGGCCACATCCTAATGTCATTGAGGGTTAGGATTTGGGAGGGTGGGGCACAAATATTCAGACCATAACACCAAGTCTTTGCCTCAAAGACTATAAATCTTCTCATTGTCACAGGATCAGTGGAGAGATATCTTGAGCACAGTAGCACACCAGCACTTCCCAAATCACAACAAAAAGGTAACTGTCTACTCTGGTCACTGGCAGACTATTAGCTCCTAACTAACTCATCCCCTACCTATATTATGAAGGTTACTCCCATCTCACATAGAGGGAAATTATTGACAATGGTCTACAGCTACAACCCCTGGCCTGCAAACCAGTACTAGTCTGTGACATGTTGGGAACTGGGCCACACAGCAGGAGGTGATCAGTGGGCAGGCTAGCAAAGCTTCATATGTGTTTACAGCCACTCCCTGTTGCTCACATCACCACCTGAGCTCCACCTCTCCCCCACAGGTCCATGGAAAAATGGTCATCCATGAAACCAGTCCCTGATGCCAAAAAGGTTGGGGGCTGCTGGTCTACAGGATCTGGTGCCACCTCTCCCCACACCCTCTACTCTCTCCCTTCAGTTCTAGCCCCCAGCCCACCCAGTACTGTGCCCTCTCTGACACCTGCCTGCCCTCTGCCCACAATGCTTGTTCTCCAGCTATCCTTGTAGCCATCTTCCCATTTCCTTTGGTTTTTGCTTACAAATCACCTTCCTTCCCAACACACTCTAATTAAAATTGAATCCTAGCCCCACCCCTTATTCTCCTTCACCTTCCTGCATTCTTTTTCTCCACACCATTTTGTTATTCTACTAATCCCCAAAGGAGTAGTAAGGCCACAAAAGGTAAAATTGCAAATTAATAAGAAAGGACAATTTTATACAAGAAAACACCATGAACAAAGGAATGGGGGAATAAAAGTCCAGGGTTGTCCTAGAGCCAACATAAAAGGCCAGCTCTGCACTTTAAGTTTCAATGTCACAGGGCATGTGCTGTCTGGGTCCTGGGCTTTGCTTCCTTGCACCTGGGAAGGCCAGTCAGGTTGAGCCTCCTGGGCTCTGCTCTGGTCATCTGCAAACCAGAGCATCAGTGATATCCTGGAAATATAATAGCATCTCCAGATGCAAAGCGAATAATGATTTGAGAAGTCTTAATTTCCTTTTTATATACAAGAGAAGAAGAAAATGTATCAGCAGATTAGAAAACCACAGTTTAGCTCTCAACCTTTTCTGCCTGAGATCTGATACAAATAGGAACTTGGTCTCTTGGAATTACTGATGTGACCCAGCAACTCTCATACCCTCTTGGGACAGCTCAGCACAATTTGGGAGCCAGTATAGTGCCTCAACTACCTGTCAGGACTCAGCTTGCCCAAAGAGGAAAATGAAAAAATATATATATTAAGGCATAGAGCCTGACTATTGTAAACCCAGATCAAGCCTTAGTCAAAGTAGTTTTCTTTAGCACTTCTACTATTTGAAAGTACCCTGGAAATAGAAAGTTACCCTTGTCAGGTTTTATTAAAAGAGAAACTTAAGAGCTGGTCCTAGTATCGACTTTTAACTTTGCTGGGTGGAGCTAAGTTCAGGGGATGGAGACAGACGGAATGCCAGTTGATCCTCTCGCAGCCATTGTGTCTCACAGGGGCTGTGAAGATGAGAGGCCATGACTATCCAGGGTTTCAATAAATGGTGCTATGATTGTCATTTCTCCAGGTAGTTGGAGGAGAGGTAGGCACAGAGAAGAGAGATATGTGCCCTAATTAATGGCATACTCAAGAATATACATACAATTTTAAAAAATTGAAATAGTTAAACAAGAAAGTTTGCCACTACAAATACACACACACGTGAATGTGGGAACATGAACTCAGACATGTAACAAAACCAGAGACATATTTCATCAGTGTTGTGGAGGTGGGCGGGGCTGGAGACCACCTCACTTCTAGGAATAAAAGTGACGATTCTGCTTTGCTAACTGCCTTCTTGTTTCATATTTGGAGACCTTCCAGGACACAAAAAAGAAGTACCTTCTTCTGTCTGGAAATTCTTTAGTCAGATGCTAGCCAACTCCCATGAAATGTAGTGTCTGGTCAAGGAGGCTGATCTCAAAAATGTGGCATATTTCTCACAACCACAGGACTAAAGAGAAAAAAAAAAAAAGAAAGAAAGAAAGAAAAAAAGCGCTCCAAAACAAGCGGCAACCCAAAAAAACAACATATTGCCATCCTGCAAAAAAATCTAAGTGTGCTGAAAAAACAACAACATATGGCTGGGTGGGGTGTGACCAAAAGGAATATAGTTATCACGTTTTGAACATTCCTTTTACAGACTTGAGTGAAAAGAAATTTTCTAGGACAGAACATGGAGTAGTCCCAAAGCCTGTCTTTTTTAAAAGCACAATTGGGGACAGGAAAAGCAAAGAAGGGTTTGTTCCAGGTGAGTTACAGCTGAGAACCAGGAATGGAATCTCACCCTTGACCCAAGAATATGCTGAAAAGCACCAAAGCAGACAAAAGCGGAAGAGAGAAGGCTGTGCTCGCTGCTTTGTAACCAGAGCGCTGTTGAGATTAAAACAGAGAGAGGAATGGAATGTACTTGAACATGCTCATTATCAACACCAAAGCCACAATATACACTGATAATAGCTCTGGGGTGCCATCATTATGTACCTGGAATCTGGGTTTCCTTTGAACAAAACAGAATCAGCTTCAAGTGCAGTGCTCTGTTGGGGATTTCGGTTATATAACTGTTTCATAACTCGAGGTGAAGTCACACGGCAAGGCTGGAAGAGTGCTGGAAAATGAGTTTGCAAACTTTAGGACTTTTGCTATTTATTGAAACCTGGCCTGTTTACCCACTGGTTACACAAACCCCAAGAGTAACCTGCAACTGAGCCCCTCTCTGTAGACTGGTATCTATGAGGCCATTCATTCTTTCAGCAGGAAACGATGGAGCATCTCCTCTATGTCAGGCCCAGAGATAGAAAAATGCACAAAGAAGATTCCTGTGCCCTGTGAGCTCTCAGTCTGGTAGAGAAAGCACTATATGAACCGAAGGGCTTCAGAATCTGCCACCCCAATTGACGCCACTATGGCATAAGGATTATTTTGAGCTGAAGACATTTGAGATTCAACAAAAGCAGAAAGAGGCTTCCTCTCAACTCCCTTCATCTTCCAATAAGCAGAGCCATCCAAAAGAACTAAAAATTGACTCATCACAGGACAGGACACCGAGCAGACATTTTTACAAGACTACCATATTTTCTTCTCCTAAGGGCCCCACTTATTTTTCCAAAACTCCCTTTTTCATAAGTGCCCTCTCCACACCTCCCTTTTCCCTACTAAGTTGGGGACCCCAATTTATAACCACTCTTCAGTTACTCACCATGAGTGCTCCTAAGTGTATGAATGATGCACATGTTGATAAACTTCTGTTTGTCTTTCTTTTAATCCATCCTTGTCAGTCTAATTTGTAGGGCCCCAGCCAATGAACCCAGGAGGGTTTTTCCACCCCTAAGAAATAGATAATTAAAACTTAATGTGGTAAGTGGGTAGCAGGGTCATAAGTATCCACCACAATTTCAATATACAAAAAAAAAAAAAAAATGAATGCTTTCTATTTGTAAACTGATCTCACTCTGTCCTTACCTCCCCTCCCTTCCACCGTCCCAGTTTCTGTTCAGTGGTAGAGTAAGAAAATTAAATTTGTCCATTCAAGGTATTTCACTATCTTTTGGTGTATGTGGTCTCTTTGAGATAAACTCAGTCTATTCTGGGTAAGTGTTAATTCAGGGAAATTGAGTATAGCCTGTCCTGGATTCCCTTCCCTCACCCCCATCCCTTCTCTTGCCTTCTCCAGGAGACTATTTTTGGAGTGGGCGAAGGGGCAGGTGTTGGCAAGGGATAGTACTCAAGTATCATTTTGTTCTATGAGAGGAGGAATATCCAGTGCCTACTTGTGATGTCTCTGCAAATGAGCATCCTAGGCAGAATTGCTGAGTGGTTGCTTCTTTGGACATCATGAACACAGCTGTAGCTGAAGCCTGCACTTCCTGTTATCTGTGGTCTCCAAGTCCCAATCCCAGATCTTTCCAGGCTCTGGGTTGCTTGGCATTTTAGCATTTTGGCTTGTTCCAGAGGGGCTGTGAGTCTGCCCTGAAGCCGTCTTAGGTAGGTGCCTTCCTCAGTCATTCTGACATACCTCCTGTGTGGCATCATCCTTCTCTGAACATAGGAATTCCCTCAGAAGGATTCCTAAAAGGCTTAACCTTTTCCTAAGCTTCTAGAATATCATGAAAAACCTCTCTGCTCCAGATTTTCCTCAAACTCTATGGTTCTTTCTAACCACACACCCTGCAGATTCAGCACCAAGGCTGGGGAATGCTCATACCTGTCCCAGCACTGACCCACCTCCTCCCTCTGGCATCTCCATCTCCCTGGAAAGGTGTTTACTTTCCTGTTGGACAGGGACTGCTCCTCTACCCTGTCCTTACTTAGGTGGCTTTTGTCCTCCATTTCCATGAGGCAACATATTGGAATTGCGTGGCTGCAAGACACATACACAAACAAGAATACTAAAATACAAAAGCAGTAAAATAGACCAGGAGATATTTTAAAAAATAATATTTCTACAATAATGCTGTGATAGGTCAGAGTTTCTGAGGCAGGAGCTCTACCAATTCTGAAAATATGATTTTTCCATCCTTGATTTCTGCCCCAAAGAGGCATTTGGAGATAGTTGGAACTGAAACCATTTACTATTATTACTATACATTTTTTTTTCAAGATAATTAGAAAGCACACCATCATTTCCAGAAGCCCAGTGCTTTCAGCTGCATAAGACCTCTGAGAGCTCGAACATTGTGACTTGTGGTATTTAATATGGAAATATTAAAAAAGTGTAATACTTGAGAAAAAATTTTTATTCCAGTTATATTAAATTATAATAACTGTGTCAGGCTGCAATTTCCAAAGGTTATCTCCTAGCATACATGCTCTTCTTCAGTGTGACCTTGCCACTCCCCATAAAGAAGCGAAGTCAGATTCTCCCCTTGAATCTGTAACTGCTTCAACCAATAGAGTAGGTGGAAGGGACAGTATGTGACTCCCCAGGCAAAGTCATAAGAGGTCGTGCATCTTCTTCCCTGTCTGTGGGATCACTCATGTTTCCTGAGTTTCATGGAGAACATACAATTCAACTACCCTGAGGCTGCTAGGCTGTGGGGAGGTCAAGTTACAAGGAGACGCCAGGTGCAGGTGCTCTGGCCAGCAGTCCTGGTGTTTGAGCCATCTCAGCCCAGAAAAGAGACATTGACTGAACAAGCCTCCATATGACTCCAGCTCCCAGACGTCAGATCAACCCCAGCCTTTGGGTATTTGCTTCTGAGGCCCAAATTATCCATCCCTGCTCTTCCCTATCCTAATTCCTGACCTACAGAATCTTCGAGCATAAAAAAAAAAAAATGATTGTCTTAAGCAACTAAATGCTTAACATTAACCACTTCAGTACGGCACTCACCAGCCAGGAAACCTTGCCCACAGCCGGCACTCATAGTCCACACGATAGCTTGTGCTGTGCATTGACGACGAATCCATTTTGCTCTTGTGTGATGAGGAAAGCTTTAAAGCACTGAAAGCTTGTTTTACTTTACAGGCAGCTTTACTTGTCATGTAAATCAGAATAGGTGACATATACATATACGTTTTCATTACGTTATTTTTAAATGTTCACAATTTTATTTTGATAAATGAAAAATTAGAAAAGTCATATCACGGCTGTCGGCTAAAGTCTCTGTGCACGTTCAGCTGTGGCTGTGACTATGGTCGAGGCTGGTACCGAAGTGGTTAAACAATGTTATGTGGCTTTAGTAACTGAAACAATGACTTAACTTACAAGGTGCATATTTATAAAACTGTCTCAGTTAAGCCCTTAAGGACCTAGACTCTCTTTATTGAATCCAATTGTCAAGAGTAAAAATGAAGCGCTGAATTTAGGTTTCATCTCTTGAGAAAGACAGGAAGCATCTTGTGCTTTCTGTAAATTGCATAGACTAGAGCAAGGGTCCCCAACCTGTAGTGAGTTGTATAATTATTTCATTGTATATTACAATGTAATAATAATGGAAATAAAGTGCACAATAAATGTAATGTGCTTGAATTATTCCGAAACCAGCCCCCACTCCCCCAGTCCATGGAAAAATTGTCTTCCATGAAAATGGTCCTGGTGCCAAAAAGGTTGGGGACCACTAGACTAGAATTTGGTGCATGAATATTTTGATGGGATTTAGACAATTTGATTTTGGAATAACCCAAGTAAAATCTACAACAACTAAAACTAGATGGTCCCAGGTAGGGGAAGGGAGACTATAAATAGCATTTATTTTTTGCTAAACATCTGCAGAAATTAATAAAACAAAGTACATATTATGAAGCTTTTAACGAGGCACACAACATTGTGCAGAGCAAAATTTCACGTCATTATTTTGGGGCTGGAGAGGGGAGAATAAACTGCATGAAGATTTGACTAATGTTTCTATTAAGTTCAGGATGTTTACCACGTATTTGTGGGGTGAGGGTGGAAAAAAGGGCTTTGCCTCTGGCTGGGTGGAGCTTGCCCTCTGACAAGAGTCTGGGGACTTTATATTCTGAAGCCACCCCTTCCAATAGTGGGAAATCGAAGTCGAGCAGCCTCTGCTCCTGTGTTCCTTGCTGTGTTTCAATGGCCATTTTTATAGACATGAATGATGGCAGGTCAAGAATACATACAGACTTGGGGTTAGGATATATTACTTGCTCTCTGATAAATTATGAACCCTATACAATTCCTGGGAAATCAATTCTGAGCTTAACAGAACTGCTCCAAAGATCCAGCCCAGGTCAATGCTTCATTAATCCCTGCTATGTGAGAGGCAATGGCCACAGCACTGGGAGCCCAACGATAAATAAGAAATGCTCTAGGCAGTGTGAATGGATAATTACACTAGAAACTGATTCCTGTGCATATCTTTATGATAACATTTATTATATTGTGTTGAAATTGTCTACATATGTGTCTGTCTCCTTAACTAGGGAAAACATTCTGTCTAACTCATCTTTCTATCCACAGCATCTAGCGTAGATTTTGGCTCAGAGAAGGCATTAAATAGATGCCCTATGAAAATAATTGTACCAGAAGTAAAATAGTAGAAATAGAAGCATCTAAATGGCATAGAAATTCTGCAAGTCAGAAACCTGGCTATCGTCCTGTGCTCCTCCTCTCTTTCTCTCAACCCTCACATCCACCTGACCACTAAGCCCTGATGTTTCTCTTTCTTAAATATTTCTGGAATCGGTGCCTTTCTTTCTTTCTCCACTGCTACTGCCTTAAGTAGTAACATCCTCCTGATCAGCTTTTTCCTGAGTTGCTGGCATAGTCTCCTCTTTCGTCTGGTCTCCTGCCCTCTGTATTACCTACCTCCAGTTTACGCTGCCACGCGAGTGACGTTTCTAAAAGGCAGATCTGCTTATGTTACTTCACTGCTTAAAAACCTTCAAGGTCTCCCCTCCGTCTACAGGATGAAGACCAAACCAACTTAAATAACATCCAAGGTGCTCTGTGACCTGACATGATCTGCTACTTCAGGTTCGTTTCCAACACACATGCAAATGTCGCCATACTCTTGGTCAGAATGATCACTTTCGCCTCCAGGAATGCTGTTATAAGTCTGCATGTCTTTGCACATCCTCTTGATCTGCCTATGAATCCACTTCCTCTTCCTCATTCACCCCATATTCAATATGTCTGGGACCCACTCAAGTGAAGCTAACACCATCTTCTTCATAGAGTGTCCCTGTATTTCATGTTCCTCTATCATAACGAGAGCATAGCTTCAAGTAAAAGACTATGGCCTCTGGTCTGGGGCTGCCTGGATTCATACTGTACCTCGAGCACCTACCAGCTGGGGGATCTTGGCCAAGTACTTGATGTCTTGGTGCCTTAGTTTCTTCATCTGTGAAACAAATCTCCTGGATCTTGGGAAGCCGCCTTTTAAGGGCAGTCCCAGTGGCTTATCTGGCCTCCTGCTAGTGTGGGTATGGGTATGACCAATAGGAGGTTCTGCCAGACATTTCGGGGTGTGGGGGAGAGTGAGGGCTGGGGCTTCATCCCTCCAGCCCCCCCCTTCCCTGCAAGCTTCCTTTCCTGAGGCCACAGCTTCTGCAGGAAGCTTCTCATGCTGCAGTGGTTCTCTCAGGGTTCCATTCCCTCTCTGCACTTCTCAGGCTCCCCTTCTTGGCCCCTTCCTCCGTGCCCACACCTTCGTAAATAGCTCCTTTGTTAAACTATCCTCAACGTTTGCAATCAACTGGGACCCTGACTGATACATCCCTCTAGTGGATTGTGAATCTTTAAGGGTGGGGACTCTGACATTCAGCTGTGAATTCCTAGTTTCTAGCACAGTATCTGGCTCAACATAGGAGAACTGAAATTCACATTTTGGATGAATTAATGAGGAAACAAGTGATTAACATTTTAGATGGAGAGGAGAGATTCAAGAAGGCTTCAAGGAGCAGGTGATTGCTGCACTGGTTTTGAAGAACGTTATGGGTGGACATTCCTTGCAAAGAAAATAGCATGTGCAAATGTATAAGGCACCATAGTGTTTGGGAAGCTGCAAGTAGAAGTTGTAACCAGACCATGAAGTACGCTGGGCTCCTGTATAAGCTTTCTTTGGTACAAATGATGCTGCTGCTGTTACAAAGTTTGAAATCACTGTCTCAGCCAGCCTACTCACTTAGATAGGAAAACTCATATCTGGTAAAAGATATTGTCCAAGTTCACAGCAAGCCCTGTAGAGCAGTGTGTTCATTTATGACAGGGAAGTTCAGGTCTCTTAATTCCATCTGCTACCTTGAGTATACTAAGTCCTGAAAAACCAAAGAATTTGAGACCCATAGCATGAAACACTGATGATCTTTGGGCAAGCACATTAATGGCACCAAGAGTATTGCTTTGTCAGAGTCATCACTTGCCAAATGGAGTTGGATTTGTAGGCAAGGCTCTGGGGCACAGCCCTTGGAAGCTAAAAACATTGCATTGCAACAAGCAGACACAATTAGGCCAAAATCCATCCTGCATGGTTCTCTTTGCCTGAGAGGTGGCCTTGGAGACCAAATGTCCAAGGGTGAGCCAGATGGCAGACATGTGACATACAGTCACATTGGCCCTGTCCTGTAGGTTTATGTCATTGCTGAAGTAGAGCCACAGAAATTCAATAATACATTGTCCAAATGGCAGGAAAGAGATCCCTTTAAAAAGACACACACTGACATTGGCTTTTTGCAACTACTTTTCTCCATGAGTTTGCTAGCACTAACTTTAAGAAAAAGGAAGCAAACTGTATGTCACTGGCAATGGGGTAGCATGGCTGTATCTTAGATTCTAGTGTAGTATGTGGCTATAGTGGGTACTGGACTGAAAGGCTTATTGAATAAACAATTGAATGGGTGAGTAAATGAATAGGTATCAGGTACCTCTTCTTTGAGCTATTTGAATAACTGGCTACAGTT